AATGAATGCACGCGGTGTATGTTTGGTTGCCTATAAAACAATCGTGCATTAATAGACAAATCGTTCATTAATAGGGGTCATTAATGAACGATTTCATATACATTAAACTTAGTCGTTAATACAAGGTCGACGGAAAAAAGATTTTTCACTTCATTCTCATTTGCTGCACTCTGGTGATAAGATGGCATTTGCTTGTCTCATAGAAAGGTAAAATGTGAGTTCTGCACTTTTTTGCTAGGCGATCATCAGCTGCCTCATTTCCTTGACGCCTTGGAACCCACATGGGCGAGAATTGATGCTTATACTTATTCATCACAAAATAGGTAATTTTGATAGTTTGAATAGGTAGTTTATCAGTTTTTATCAAAATGTTCGAAGACTACCCGCTAGCACTTGAAATTATTGTATCGCAATTATAACAACTATAATTCCAGCGTACAGAATTTAATTTTTTTCTGTCCCTCACCCCACTAAAAGACGTCTCCAAGTCCGAGCTCTCTAACAGCCGTTCCTCTTTTTTCATAATGACGAAATTTACATGAGAACTCGATAGAAAATTTGATGCTCTTTCAATATGTGCATGATGCTATGTCTCTGAGTGATACAAAGTAGTAAATTGACTGCAGGGGCTGAATTCATAGCCGAGCGTAGCGAGGCTAGGAATCCAGCTGAGGCAGTCAATCTACTTTGATGCCGAGTTGAGCATATAATTTTTTCTCCGATTGTTCATAATGATATAGGAGGATATTGTATTTGCAAATTATTACAATTCCCACAATCTCTTAATTTTTCCTGTAGTGTTCAATTAAAATAAAATTTGATAGAAATCGCAGTTGTTGGAATGGTTGGTTGCTATGGAAATGTCCATAATAATTATAGTTTGACAATTCATGAAATTTCTGACAGTTGTTCAAAAAAATATCGGTATATATAAATTATTATACACTCACTGGCACAATTAGGGGAACGGGTAAAATTTACACTAAGTTTGACATCAATTTTCTCTCGAACCGATCACTCGATTCAAATTTGTTTTTTACGAATTGTAGCTTCATTCATCACAAATACATCTGAGAAATAACCACCTCCAAACGATTCGTCCTTATATCATATACAGGGGTGTAAAGAAAGTACGGATTTTTCGGTATTCTTTAAGACATCCTGTGGAGTGAACCACTGATAATTGAAACGATTTTCCAACACCAAATTATGGCCCAATCTATCCCGAATATTTTCGTTTTTTATTCATCTTGACATCCCAATTATCCAAGAAAATATAGAGTTTCAAAGAAGATGTGGATACTGATATTAATTTTACCACCTCGAAACTCGAACTGGGGAGAACGTGTCGTTTTTCAACTTGTTTCTGTGAGGATTTTTACTTCAAGATGAGAATTGTTCACAGTTTTACCTATTATACGAATTCTCTCATGAATATGCAGGGGTGATAAAAGTTGCTCGAATGTTCTTTTGGTGAAATGCTATTTTTGTTAATCAACGTTGGCTATTTTGTTAATTTCATTAATTATTATCAAAGTCAAGCGATTCACAATTAATAAATTTAATTAATGAAAATTTAACGTGAGAGATTTGACTCCCACTGATGTGGCGAGGGCTGTAGCATTAATTGAAAATGACCAGTGGGCCAATGTTCTTTTAACATATGAGAGCCGCATCTGCACCAATTCAATAGATGGCAGGGAAAGACTATATCGCCGAGGTGAACAAAATGAACAATTTGATTTTACTGCTTCTGTCTCCTATGGCAGTGGTTTAGTCATGGTAAGGTTAGGTTAGTCAAGAAAGCACACATTTTCAGATCCAATTTGAGTTTTGAGGTGTAAAATTGATACCAATATCCAGCTCTTACCTTTGAAACTCTGTATTTTCTTGAATAATTGAGATATCAAGATGAATAAAAAACGAAAATATTCGGAATAGATTGGGCTCCAATTTGGTGTTGAGAAATCGTTTCAATTATCAGTGGTTCAGTCCACAGGATGTCTAAAAAAATACCAAAAAATCCGTACTTTCTTTACACCCCTGTATATGATGGAAAGACTCATCGTTTGGAGGTGATTATTTTTCAGATGTATTCGTGAAGAATGAAGCTACAATTCGTGAAGAAAAAAATTTTAATCGAGCGATCGGTTCGAAAGAAATTTGATGTCAAACTTAGTGTAAATTTTGCCCGTTTCCCTAATTGTGCCAGTGTGTGATAATGGACAGTGAAAGCGATCTGGAAGTACTTACTCCTCCAGAAATAAGGGAGGTGGCAAAAAATATAGAGTTGAATTTGTTGCCGGAGAAGTCTCGGATGAAATATGAAGGAAATTATAAACGATTTATGGATTATTGATTTTGCTGACACATATCAATCAGCAAAGTAACCACTTTGCTGCCTAGACAGGAGGAGTAGTAATTTGCTGATTGATATGTGTCAGCAAAATTAATATTTGCTGCCAATCGGAGGAAAACGCTATTTCTTGAAAAGGATCCAAATTTGGTCAATTCTCAACTGACTCTATCTCCCCACCCTTCAGTCCTACATCAATGAACAAGAACAATGTTATCTAGGAAATTTCATCTACCTCAAATTTTTACGGGGCGGTATTTTCGATATAATGTATGATTTCCGAGTTACGGGCAAAAAACCGGAAAAAGTGCGAAAATTGCGCTGTTTTTTGCTGATATCTTGGAATGCTTCAGGAAATTTTGTTTGCAAAATTCAGATTCGAATTCAGCACCTCTAATAACATATAAAACCAGAGAGAAACCGACTTCTCGAATTTTTTCCCGGATTGTGTCCTAATCGTCGTGGCAATATTTCCGGTATAGTGGTGCTATGGCTAGACTCTAATGGCATCCACTAGTCCGCTCTTCATGGTTGTCTTTATTCGCGTCCTGCTAACGTCGCGACGTCTACCGACGCCCGCTTCTAAAACACGCGGAGGGTTTCGATGTACCGAGTGATCAAATTCTCTAAGGCAGTTCCGGGTTTTTGGACCCGGAAGGTTCTGGGACACTGATGGTCTCAGTGATGTGAAAGATTGTGGGCTTTTTTCTTGGACAAACATGACTGTACTTTGGATTTTCGCTTTGTTTTTGGTGTTTGGTGTCACTGTTCAAAGTAAGTCGACATTTTTCACTCGCTTGTATGCTAAAAGTGTTATGCGGTCCATGGACGACTTGATAATACACTAACCGGCAAAAAAAACAGCCACCAAAAAATTTTGCCAAATTGTTCAACCATGTAACTTCTTTATTCTTGTCCGATTTCGGTGAAATTTCGACCAAAACGTATATACATGCTTCGGAATGTTAGCCTGGATATAAGGTCCTAAGAAAAGCTGATGGCTTGATCATTATACAAGGAAAAACAAAAGTGACTCTTTCACCTTCAACTTCTTAACACTCTGTGGCAAAGGTGAGAGGTTAAACTGAGCCTCATTATGTTTTGGATTAAGGTGTGATGAAGTTCTTAACACAATGGTTTTCGATTCTCCTCGATAACCACTATTTAAGAAAAGATATGAGTGTTGTAAGAAAGTATGTTTTTCTCAATTTTTATAAACAATAATTCAGAACCATTCTCCAACCTTCTGCATTATCATGTTTTGAATTGAAGTGTGATCCTTTTTCGCCCCTTCTTAACACAATGGTTCGAGATTCAAGTCAATATCTTCTTTTTAAGAGAAGATACAAGTCTTTTAAGGAAGTATGGATTTTTTAAATTTGTATCAACGATAATTTAGAACTTATAGATCATCTTGGGGATGAACTCTAGAGGCTCATTGGCATTAGTTTGGCCATGTCAAAGACTCTTCAGGAGCAACGATTCGCCCTTCAAGGAGATTTTTAGGCAATTCTTCAAGACTACTTTACAAATTTGATCAACTCGATGCCACGGCGGTTGAATGCCTCGTTGAATGACTTGTTATTGACTATATACAGTTCTGCTTTTTTGTTTGTTTTTGTAATTGAGATTTTTGCTGTAAGTGCTAAGAAAATGAGGTAGAAATATGTGATATTGATTCTTCAAGTTGTTAATCAATGAGTTTATGTAGGTTCTGATTATTGTTAATATAAGTGTTAATGAAATTTGAAAAATGCCATACTTTCCTAAAACACTTGTATCTTCTTTTAAAAATAAGATATTGACGTGATTCAAAAACTATTGTGTTGAGAAAGGCTTACACTTCAATCCGAAGCATAATGAAACCAAGTTTAACCACTCAATTATGCCACAGGGCGTTAAGAAATAATGGGTGAAATAGTGACTTTGATTTTCCCCTGTATAAATCTGCGATGTGATCGGGCAAGGATTGAAAAAGTTACAGGGTGAACAATTCTGGCAATTTTTTTGGTGGCCGTTTATTTTTGTCGGTGAGTGTATGAATAATAAAAAATAAATGAGTAGATATCTTCAGAAAATCTATACCTCCGATACTCAGATGCCAATTATTTAGCTACCGTTTGGAATAATCTTGACATGAGTATCTTTTTATACAGGGAATACATAACTCATGAATCAGGAAAAGGGGGGTGGAAGGAGGGGGGCATTTGCAATGAAACTAACCGTATATATGGATCTCAAATTGTTGATAGTTCAAAAGTTTTGATTCAGTATTCCAGATTTTTTTGGGATTTTCTCTCCTCGTTTCTATAAAATAAAAATATGAATATTATTTCAATATATATATATAAGGACAAATTAGATGATTTGCCCCAAAATGTAACTGCGTTTCAAGAGTTTTCCTATCAGAGAGCCTAAAAGAAAAATTCACTATAGCTTGTCAGTGATAATTTGTGTCGAAAAAAGTTCATAGAAGAGAAATGAAGGTATATAGAAAAAATATCAAATATTCACTTTCACAGAAAGAAAATAATATCTTGGAATTGGCTTCAGATTTTCAGTTTTAAGAGGCCACACTGTATAAGAAAGTTCGATAGTTCATCGTTTCAAATGATTTTCGTTTCGAGAGTCTAAACAACAAATATTTTTGGTGACCTATCCAGATAACTTTTGTTGTTGCAAATCCAGGTCATAATTACCAATAATTATTGCATGTCAACATTGAAGTGGGTCTGAGAAATTCTGAAGAGAATGCATGTTTTCAACATTTTCGCTGTATTTTTGCTGTCTGGATTTTATGTCGAAGGTAAGTCAAATAGAAAATTGCTAGATCTTGCAAGGAATTGTCGTAAATTTACAGAGAACTTATCAACTTCTACTCAAAATTGCAAATTGATCGGAAAAACTGTTTCCAACAACGTTTCGTACTTTTTTATAGATGCGTACATGATAGAGATATCCTTCTGTCCTATCCATATGATGGAACCATTTTATTCGAAAATGCAGTACCTATTCTTTGAATAATCAGAATTATTCTCAAAATATACATATATCATTCGGAATTGATTCCATACTATTGGAATATTCTTCTAATGAGAATCGAATAATCTGACTTATCAACGAAGCATTGAAGCCCTTCTGACAAAACCTGATTGTGGGGAATATATTATAATGACAGTTTATTTAAATATATTCTTAACATTCTGAAACGAATTTTCTGAAGATTATTGTATTGGAATGATATTATAATAAATTTATAATAATCCCCAGAGATGAAAATATTCCTGGAATATACAGTGTGTCCCACTTACCATGCTCACCATGGGTATCTTTTTAACGGTGAGAGATACGAGGTCGGTTAAATGACACCAAATGTGGAGTTTGTCAAGGCCAACTATAATGTGAAAAAATATTTTGATAAAATCTATTCGTTTTTGTTTTATACGCAAAAAACAGATTTTGATCATTTTCATGTCTCCTCCGTAACTTCTTTATTTTTGAAAATATTCAAATAGGAATTTCACATTCTCATGGCAGTTTTTCAAAGAGATTTCGAAAAAAATATGAAATTTATACCAACTCTTCTAGAATTTGAGATATCAGCACCAACTTTAGTTTTTCAAATGTAGGTCATAGCTCACTATGACTTAGTTACACATAACTTTTTTTTCTCTTACAGATGATATGTCGCAGTAATAGTTTTGGGTTGATAACAACGGAGTTAACGTCATTTTTTCGAAAACAAAAAATTAGTTGGAAGCCGCCATCTTGAATTTATGAATTTCAACAAAAAAATTATGATCTCCGACCTCAAAAACCCCTACTCACCAATTTTTAATGGAATCGGACTAAATCTTGTCCGCCTTCTTGGAGCAGCCATTTTTTTAAATTTCAACAAGAATTCCATAACTCCGATTAACTTGAAATTCGGCAGGTGTTTATAATTTCGGTGACATTACATTATGGGATTTTTGTTGAAATTTAAAAAAATGGCTGCTCCAAGATGGCGGACAAGATTTGGTCCGATTCCATTCAAAATTGGTAAGTGGGGGTTTTTGAGGTCGGGGATCATGATTTTCTTGTTAAAATTCATAAATTCAAGATGACGACTTCCAAATAATTTTTTGTTTTTGTATAAATGACGATAACTCCGTTGTTATCAACACAAAACTATTACTGCAACATATCATCTGTAAGAGAAAAAAAAGTTATTTGTAACTAAGTCATAGTGAGCTATGACCTACATTTGAAAAACTAAAGTTGGTGCTGATATCTCAAATTCTAGAAGAGTTGGTATAAATTTAATATTTTTTTCGAAATCTCTTTGAAAAACTGCCATGAGAATGTGAAATTCCTATTTGAATATTTTCATAAATAAAGAAGTTACGGAGGAGACATGAAAATGATCAAAATCTGTTTTTTTGCGTATAAAACAAAAACGAATAGATTTTATCAAAATATTTTTTCACATTTCAGTTGGCCTTGACAAACTCCACATTTGGTGTCATTTAACCGACCTCGTATCTCTCACCGTTAAAAAGATACCCATGGTGAGCATGGTAAGTGGGACACACTGTATATACAAGGTGGCAATTGAGCATGTGCCCAAACTTTGAGAGGGAGGATTTTCTGGCTGATTCCAAAACGAAAAGTTCATGTGAACATAATATGCCCGAAAAGGAACCATTTTCGCGATATACAAGGTGTCGAAGTTATTCAACTCCGTTTGATTTTGGCACATACATGAATAACACCCTGTATATGTCATATTCCCAAGAGATATTCTTTCGGATCACTGAAAAAATATTCTACGATTCTTCCAGTGCTCTCTGTGATTATTTCAATTGCCTCAAAAGTATTTTTCGAAACATTGTCTCATGTCCAGACAGCATTCTTGTATTTATAGATGTTGAACAGGCAAAGAATTAATCATTTGTGCTGAAGTGTAATTTTAGAGTTCTCCTTGTCTCATGAACATCTGGAAGAGAATAAATTAAGAGGACTGAATTTATTTTACTATGCAATCACACCTGTGCTGGTGCATTCAGTCGGCACTCCACGAATAATAAGTAATTAAAAAAAATCTAATTAGGTTCCGTAAATATTTTCAGAGTGATTAGGATTAGGTATCTCGGTTATGTTTCTTTACCTTTTTGATGAAAGAAAAATGTCTTGATGAAATTTTTTTTATCGCTTGGAGCGCACGAAGGAAATCCCTATAATGTTCAAAGAACATCGTGAGTTCCTAGGAAGGATAGGGACAGGAGGTAGGTATTGGAATTTTTTCTGAACTTCTGGAGATTATATGTTGTTGGGAATACTCAGGCAATGAATTCCAGAGCCTAGCCGTTCTATGGATGAAGGAGTTTTGATAAAGTGCTGTTCGACATCTTTCGAGGTTGACAACGAAAGGATGTGCTGACTGGGCTTGTCTAGTTCGTCTGACTGGTATTGCTAGTGAAGGGATGATAGCAGAGATTTCCAAAGAACATTTCCCGTGGAAGTATCGATAGAAAAGTGGAAGGTCGCCGACCTTTCTACGGTGTTCCAATGATGTCAAAGAGTGAGTGAGTGTGGCGTCACCTACTAGGCAAATGGCTCTTCTCTGGATAGAATCTAAGAGCATCAGCGTATGTTTTGGTACTGAACAGTATTCTAGAACAGGCCGTATCTGCGCTTTGTAGATCATGAGAAGTTGTTGAGGTATAAAGTAGCTTTTCGCATGGAACAAGAATCCGAGTTGTGAAGCAGCTGTTGCGATGGATCTGACATGATTATCCCATGAAAGAGTGTTGCTGATGGAAATACCGAGCATAGATATGGTGGGCTTGGTGGGGATGGTGGTGCCAGACATTACAATATCGGGCATACTGAGTTCCGCCTGTCTAGAGAAAATACAGGCTTGAGTTTTGGTGACGTTGAATTCAACTAGGTTGTTGGTTCCCCAGGCTGTGATTTCAGCAAGGTCTTCATTTACAGCATTGACCTGCCTGCGCCGTGAGTTCTTAGTTTCATGGGAAGAAATGGGAATTCTGGTAGAGAACGCAGTATGGAGGGTACTATCATCTGCAAAGCTGTGGATGGGGCGAGTTGTTACTCCCAGCAGATCATTGATATGAAGAAGGAATAGTGTTGGTGCCAAAATTGATCCTTGTGGAACGTCGGAATTGATGCCAATGGTATCAGACGATACACCGTCCACCACCACGTGAAGCGATCTGCCTGAAAGAAAACCCGATAAGAGATGGCATAGCTGGGTGACGTATGTAAGTAGATCTCCAGTAGATCTTCGGTGGCGAAAGCCGTATTGTCTATCATTGATGATTCCTGAGCTCTCCAGATATTTGATGAGCTCAATATTGATGGCTTTCTCCATCACTTTGGAGATTACTGATAACAGGGCAATGGGCCTGCAGTTGTTGGGAAGGCTCTTGTTCCCTTTTTTGGGGATTGGTTGGACTCTAGCTGTTTTCCAGCATGATGGAGAAATACCTAACCTGTATGAATGCATTTCTCATCAAATCCAATGGATATCTGATTGATTTTTCAGATTTCAACAAAAGCTGTGTTTGACCCTGCATATTCTTGAATGAATTATCCAACCTTACAAAAAGTTGTCGTTTTCTCATGTCACACAATATGAATCTTTAGGAGACAACATATGAAAATATTAATCACTTCACAAATTAGTGCTGTACCAATTCAACTCACATGTTTTTTTTGATTTGGACACTACTGTACAGGTACATATCACTATAATAGGATATATTATTATGATCTCCCTGATTTCAGATATGAACATACCCAAAAATTGTTATTTGTGTACTATAAAGCGTGCAGAGTAGTAAAACTACTTGTACGTTCGTAGGAAATCGTATACAGGCTGATTCCCGGTGGAAGGCATATTCGACGTTTTTGGAGAACGTAACATGGGATGATTCTGAAAATTTAGTGCCTTAGATAATCAGTTGTGCTCTATCGACCTAAAATATTCATAGCGCTGCGACGTTGTCTTTTATATTGGAAAGTAGCAACAACTATGATTTGTTGAATGGGACACCCTGTATATTATTCCATTTTCAGATTCTCCCAGAAGGGCTGATTTCATTGACTCATAACACTTGGGGTCTAGCATTGACAACTACAGAGATATAGGGTGTGAAAAATCGAGATTTTTCAACTTTAAGATTTGGTCAAAATAATTTCCATATCCCTATCTCGACTTTTTATTCACTATCGAATGATATTTAATCGAAATAGGTACAGGGTGCTTCAGAATTAAGATTCTCAACTATCTTGTATCTATTTCAATTAAATATCAATTGATAGTACATGGAAAGTTGAGATAAAAAATATTAAAAATGTTAAATTTGGGGTATGTCATACCCCACAACACTTCTGATGTTATGATTGTCCACCACACTGCCGCCGGGTTAAGTATTTGGCTTTTTCCTAGTTGGATATCCTGTATATGATAAAAACTTCAGTACACTTCGAAAAGTATAACAACCTTCCTTTTAGAATTATTCCATTCCCTGGTATAGAAACAGTTCAAGAGACTTTAGTCAAAGGATTTTCATCAGTATACGTATATATACAATATTTATCCACGAAGTAGACAAACATATTCGAGTGTTTTGTATTCAAATCGGAGTGATTGCTTTTACGATACACAATGAAGAAACTTCGAACTTTTGATGCTACAAAGGTAACAGTAGAAATAGGTAGCCAAGCAAATGTTTGTTTGATATTCTTATTCCCTTTATTTGGAAAAACAACTCTGAGGAAAATCTAGTTATATTAACT